AATACTACTTTCTTGGAAATTAACATAATTTTGCCTCGTGGAATGTTTAGTTCCAAAAGAGAAATGGTAAATTAATTAAGTGGAATACTAATAAATCTTTGTCAATGTAATTTATTTTTTTATTAAAATATTTATAACTTTAAACACTATAAGTTGTAACTCAATACTATTTTATTAATTAAATTATTTATAATTATTTTTTAAGTGATATGATTGTGTAAATTAGACATATGATAATGGAAAAATTACATGGTTAAGCAAACAGTACTAGTTAATTAGTCATCATAGCTATAGTTTTAGTTAATTACCACTTGCGACCAATATTCAGTGATAATTACATGGGTTTGGGTTTCGAGTTTGTATAATTTGCATGTTTGTATAATTCAGAATTTGTATAATATAATTTGTAGAAATTTTGTATAGTGTAATTTTGTATAATATAATTTGTATAATTGTTTAAAGTTCAGATGTTTGTGTTGTATAAATTTGTTATTTTGAGTTTATACAAAAATAGCTCAAATATACAAACGTACCCGGGAACTATACAAACTCACCCGTAAATTATATGAATGAGGCAACTTAAACTATAGCTACAACCCGTAAATATGCAAACTATAAGTATGAAACATTATTAAGTTTATTATATTGACTATTTGCAAAAATTCCCCGAATTATAGATTTTTTGTTTTAATTTGTTTGACTTATATTTTCTTTATTCCACTTTTTTTTTTAAAGAAAAATGCTGCTTTCCTTCTTCTTTTTTTAACAACTTTTTAATTTCATCTTCTCACATAACATGTTTAAAATCACAAAATTAAAAGATATTTTGATATATTTAAGTTTTGACATATCATTAATTTAAGACTGTAAAATTTTAAAATTTTCTTTGTTTTTTAAATTCATTATCAAACTAAAACAGATCAAGTAAATTAAAACAGACAGAATACTCATTAGTAAAATGATAAGGACTCAATCAACATCAACACCACTATTCCCACTACCTCTTCTTTTTTCCTTCTATCTTCATCGACCCTTTTTCCCTTTTCTTTCCTTTTCATTTTTAAAGAGATAACTTTTCTCATGTTTACCACACATCTTTCTATAGCAAATATATTAGTTAAATTATAGAGAAGATTAATTAGTTTGTTAGCGTGTTGGATTTATATTATTATGTATAGAGATAAGAATTTTTATTTTATGAGTGCAAATTTAATTGATTATAAAAGATTATTTATCTTTGTTTTTAAATTATTATTAACTAGCGTTTATTTATAATAATAAAAAAAGTTAATAAAGTACCTTTTTTTTAAGTTTGAGAGTCAATCAAGTTTTTTTATAATTGAAATTTATTCATATACCTTTTAAATTGTTAATTATGATGATTTATGGTATTCTTTGCCTACTTTTCAAGTTTATAAATTTTATTTCAGAAAATCTACTTTTATGTATGAATTCATGGTCAAAAACTTAGAAATGTAAATCTTAAAATTTTAATTGTGCCACATAAATTGAAGAAACTTATATATATATATATATATATATATATGGTTATGACCTATTCGATCTAGTTTGGAAAATTAAAATTGCTTTTTTACTTATTGTAGAAAGTTAAGATATTTGATCATTTTTTATATGAAAAGTAAGTGCTTAATTTAAGTAAAATATTAAATTATTGTGTAAATTTTAGGTTTAGCAAACATAAAAATCATATTTGTATGTTATAGCTATAGTTTGTATATTGCGTTCCATATCAAACTTTATGTTTGCTACGGCTATTAATATGTATATTTCGGTATACATATACAAAAGATCAATTGTATAATCTGTTTCAGTAGACATATACAAAAGAATCAATTGTATAATCTATGTTTGTATAAAGTGAAAAAGAGAGAACGACAAAAGAAAATTGGACGCAGGGGAAAATCTTTATTTGTATAATTATAAGTGTATAGGACGAAAATATATGTATTTGTATTTGTATATACAATTCTCCCGCTTTATAAAAACACAAACGCAAATTATACATTTGTGTTTGTATAAAGTGAGAGAGGCAAGTGAGAGTGGCGAGCGAGATTCTTGGGGAGAGAGACGAACGAAAAGATATGTATATATACAGTTTTCTCTCACTTTATACAAATACAATCACATTTAATACATTTGTGTTTGTATAAAAGTGAGAGAGGCCAGGGAGAGACTGCCAGCGTGAAATGAGAGTGGTGAGCGAGAATTTCAGGGAGAGAGGCGAATGGCAACAGTTTGCAACATGTTACAATTAAATCAAAATGTGGTTATAATATTTAATTTGAATTAATAATTTGCTATTTTATACAATTTTCCCTTATTTTTATGATAAAATATCATTTTCCATGTAATTGGTATTTTTATAATCTTGGCCCAAATACATATTGATATTTTAAAATAGGTAGATATACTTTTAATATTGATTTGTTTTGTCAAACATAACAGGTTATTCTTCAATAATACTTTTCAAAAAACACTTATATATATATATATATATATATATATATA